CACCCACAGATAGGTATTAGGGTGCAGGTTGGGAAGGATGTGGTGGTTCTGGTTCTGAGTAGATGTGGTGGTATAGCCTTTGGTGCAGCTTCTTTAGCTGTAATCAACATCAGCAATGACTGGGTGCCTCTGTGGCCTAGGCTGCAGGAGTTTGTGGCCATGGCAGCAGCAGCACGGGTTGTTAGAACCCTCAGTGTCAAGGGTTTTTGGGGTCTTTTCTTGTTTTGTCCACAATGGGCAGTCTTTATTGAAGGGATCCCTCCTGGCATCACGTTTGACATGGCCCACAGGCAGCTGCAGTGGCACTGGGTTCCAGGGCATAGGTGCTTAGAGTGGCTGTGGAGTCGGGGTTCTGGGCTCAGGGTCTCATGAACCTGCTGTGGCACCTGGGACTTTTAGGGCATAAGTTCACTCTCTGAGTCATGGATGGATGCACATTGCCCACAAAGCTGAGGTCTGTGATCTGAGGCACATCCCAGCTGCTTGAGCCTAGGCAGCTGGGTTGTAGCTGTGACTCTTGGGGGCAGGGCATAGCACTGGCCCAGCTCCAGGGAAAAAGGGGTGCTCTGGAGTTTCAAGCTTGGGTTGCAGGGCACAGCTACAATTCAGAAACCAGAGCCAATAGGGCACAGTAGCAACTTAGGCCCTGGAGGATGAGGCCCCATGTAGTGGTGACTCTGCACCCTACACAGCAGTATCCCAGGTGGGACACAGCAGTATCCCAGGCTCCTTGAAGCCAGGCACAGCATCAGCAAGGACCCAGAAATGGCAGAGCATAGCTGTGGCTTGGGCCCTGGGGTACAGGGAGCAGCACAGTGATAGCTTCACCCCCCNTTTTTGAGTTCTATAAAATATAACACATACTGTTTTGCCTGGCTTCTTTGATTCGGTGTTATAAGATTCATCCATGTTCTTGTAGATAGCAGACATTCATTTATTGTTATTGTCGAGTTCCACTGTTTGACAATGTCACAGAGTATCCATTGATAGAAAAAATGATTTCCAGTGTTTAGCCATTAGAATGCTGCCCTGAGTGCTCACATGTGAGTTGTTTGGTGGGAAGGTACACATGCTCCTGTTTGAGGACAAGGGTGGGCTCCAGGCTACAGGCACACATGTGCTCAGCTTCAGAATAGGGCACCTGTCATATTCTGAAGTCACACCAGCTTCACTCCCACCAACAGCTTCTTAGGGTTTTCTACTCGTTCTGCATCTTTGCCAGTAGTTGGCTTCTTTAGTGTTCTTTTACTTTAGGTTTTCAGTGCCTGTCTGCATTCCCATTTTCATTTAGATTTGGTTCTGTGAGAACTTTTGTTATTTTCTTCACATTTTAANCCAAGGGTGGGGTTTCCCAGCTCAGCCAATTCTCTGATTCCCTAAGATGCAGAGGCCATCTCAGCTCAGCTCTGGGAAGTGCAGCTGCTCGGCTCCACCAAGGCATTGATTCCTTGGGAGGCAGGGCGCCAAGTCAGCTCAGCCCAAGGGACAAGGTACAGCAGTGACTGGGAGGCATATGGTACAGCAGCTTGGCCCCACAGGCTAGGAGGTAGCAGCAGCTTGGGTATGGCCACCATCAGGTAGGGGTGGTACAGGGACAAAAAAGCCTCTAGGGTGAAAGGCTGCAATGGCTACTTAACCCTGAAGCAGGACACACTCCAGCAGTGGTTCCAGTTCCAAGACGGCTTAGTGCAGTAGCAGTGCAGGCTGTCAGTGCAGGATACAGCTTTGACTCCTTCTCTTGGGGGGGGTGGTAGCCATGTGGACTCCAGGCAGCTCCCTCAGCTGTGCTAAGCACCTGTAAGGACTGCAGGACTCCCCAGTGACAGGGATTGTGGGTAACCATGATGGCGGTAGGGGCGGCTGAGGTTGTCTTGCTTACCTTATGCCAGCAGGGAGAAGTCACTCCTGGTTTTGAGCTGATGCCGAGTCGGGGATGTGGTGGCTAAGGCGAGGTGTTTCTTTCCCTACTTCATGTGGTCATCCTGGTTTTCTGTACTCTACCAGATTTGTGCTATTCCTTTGATGTACTCATGTACTCTTCTTTAGTTACTTTCATCAGAATACAGGTGTTTTTTTGTTGCTTTGACTTTCTTGGGGGGCGGGGATGAGTATAACGGGTTTCTAGTCAACCATCTTGCTGATGCCATTCCCTCCTAAACTCTTTGTGTACTTGTTTGAATTAATGTGCTAATATTTACTGAAGCAATGTGGGTTTTTATGAAAGTTTTAATTCCTTAATAAACGTTTTATTGAAATGCTAACATGCATACAGAAAAGTGCCCAAATCATAAGTGGACAGCTTGATGAACTGCAGCAGGTTGCCATGCCCTGGATCAAGCATTTGGATCACCA